TTGTGCTCTTACTCAGTATGCTGTTCTGAGACCAGGGAACAGCATGATCCAGGTTGGGAGAATCGTAGAAAGGGCACATTATACACACATAGACACCACTATTTTCCAGGAACCATCTGGGTTTAATTGTACAGGTATTCATTGAGCCCCTGCTGTGCCTCAGCTATGGGCCAGGCTTTTCTGATCTGGGCAGGAAACTAGAAGTTCCATCCCCACCCATCATCTGCATCCCCAGCTGGGCTCATCCCAAGGGGCCTGAGGTTGCACAAATTCCTTGGACCAGTTCCAGGACTCATTGATGCTTCCCAGTAATGGGAGGCCCGCCCTTCCCACCACCACCACCAACGCTCAGACACATGAACACACATTTCCCCAGGGTCAGTCTCCATTTGTACAAAACCACTCTCCTGTTTCTGGGCAGTAGAACAAGGTCCTTCATTGAGCCCAATCCTTGAAGCTGTTCTGTCACATCCCCTGGCAGTACCAGAGAAGCTGTGTCCCTTAGCCCTGGGGTCCTGGCAGTATTCTAGGGTGGGGGAGGGACTAGACAAGGCTTCTTTTCTGCCCCAGATGCCTCTGGCTATCCTGCAAGGCCTAAACAACAGCAATTGACAGTGTCAGGCTAGGAAGAGAGGGCCAGGCAGGCTGCTGGAAGAGAAGGGTGACAAACAGGCATCATTAAGCTATATTCCAAGTGCCCAGTATGTGATGCTTTATATACACTGCCTCCACGACTCTTCCCAACAGCCCTATAATTCCATTTACAAAGGAGGACACATACTGCCCCAGCATCTGCATGACACAGCTGGAATGCAAGTCTGTCTCTTGTCCCTAATATTATTTACTGCATTTCTTGTCATGAGGAACTGAAACCTCAGGGACTAAGTCAGGGAAGGGGATGTGGGATATTAGAGAGTTTTCTATGTGACTCAGTGTCAGAGAGAGGTGGGAGGACGGGATAGGTTTTCTGACATCTAGAAGGCCTGCTGCACCTTGGGAATATCTTTAGATATGGAGAATGGCCTAAGGAACTGATTTGTGGCCGTAAGGAGTTGATTCAAAAGACTGCCTTTGAGTGGCAGATACTGGAGGTCTGGAAAGCCAGCCTAGGAAACGGGAAGAAAGAAGATTGGCATTAGGGAGATGGAAGACTGTAGTAAAAGTCTCCTAGTTCTAGAAACAGACCTAGGTTCAGATCTCAGCATTGTTGCTCACCAGCTCAGTCACTTTGGGAAAGTGACTGCACTTCCCAAATCTTATCTGGAGAGGTAGAATGCCAAAACAGGGTTGGGGTGGGAATAAAAACCAGTCATGATGCCAGGCATGATGGCGCATGTCTGTTATCCCAGCACTAGGGAGGATGAGGCAGGAGGATCACCATGAGTTCAAGGCCAACCTGGACTACATAGCAGTACCCTGTCTTAAAAAAAACAAAAAGAAAAAATAGTCATGTTGGCCAGGGCCTGTAATCCCAGCATTTGGGAGGCAGAGTCAGGAGAATTGCCACAAGTTTTGAGTCTAGCCTGGGCTACATAGTATTTTCAAGGCCAGCCAGAACTACATAGCAAGACCCTGTCTCAAAAAGTAGCTGGGGGGGCCGAGGATATAGCTCAGTGGCATAAGCACCTGCCTGGAAAGCACAAGGTCATGAGTCCAATCCCCGGTACCATTAAAAAAAAAAAAAAGCTGGGGATGTATAGCTCAGTGGCACAGCACCTGCCTGGCAAGTGCAAGCTCATGTGTCCGATTCTTAGTACAAAAAAAAAAAGTCATTTTCTTAACACTAATGCCTGGCACATGGCATATATACTTAATAAATGTTGTCCGTTATTACTGTCTTTATTAGTGCCAGTAATACTGTTCGTTCTGTTCTGTCCAGTGCCATGATGATGGCATTAGTTGATTTTGAATAAATGCATGAATTGTGGGTACTTTACCAAGGAATCTCTAGAAAGCTTGGAGTAGAGAGGTCTTGGCCAAGAAAATTATTTGAGTTGGGAGTTATGTGATTTTATGCTACAAATTTAAGTAGAATTAGAAATTAATGTGACTTCTAGGCCACGGTCTTTTAAACAAGTCATTAAGAGGGGGATACAAAATGTCAGTGCAAGTTGTCTGGTGTCTATCCTGCAGTATGGATGAAGGACACCAGAGTTCCTTGGGTTGAAAGACTTGTTTTGTTTTGTTTTTGAGACAAGGTCTTGCTATGTAGAGCAGGCTAGCTTTAAACTTATGTATCCTAGGCTGGCCTCAAACTCAGTGATCCTCCTGCCTCAGCCTCCCAAGTGCTGGGATTACAGGTGTGTGTCACCATTCCTGGCAAGGTTGAAAGACTTGGATCCGCATGTTTCTGAGGCTTCCCTTATATGTGCCTATTCCCAGCCTCTCTGTTTCCTAGATTGGTTGGTGCCTTTAGAATCTGTATGTATTTGGGAAAAGAAAAAAAAGTGGTATTTAAAAGGAAGGAGTTAGTAAGGTACTTTAACTAATAATAACAGCCAATGTTTCCTGAAAACTAACTTTATGTAATGGTTTCACTTAACTCTAGCAGCCATGCCAAGTAGGACATTTTCTGATTTCCTCTTTATAGACAGAGAAAGTAGAGCTCAGTGGAGTGATCATGCTTGCCCAGAGTCACGTGGCCAGTAAGTAGTGTAGAAGAACATTAGCCATATCTTTGCCTGTTCTTTTTCATCATCTGCTGTGGGGTCTTAGATTTGTCCACTTAGAGCCAGCTCCTTTACTTCTTTCTAGGACCTCACCATTAGCACACCACTCAGAACTCACTTTTGAGGTGTTTGAACCATCACCTTGTCTTATAAATACAGCCCTGTTTCCCAAGAGTGAGGACAGAGTTGGCCTTGGCCCTTGAACATTGTCTCTCTTCTTAAGTATTGATGTTTGCTCCTGTCCTCTGCTTTATCAGCATCATCTCCACCCTCTTGAACTAGTCACAAGAGTGATGACAAGGTTTTTGAAGGGGACAGTTAGATTGTAACAGTCCCTTCCCAAGGTTCCCTTCATGTAGCCAGCCTAGGACATTTTTGGGAAGCTGCCTTCTAGATGAGGGTGGAAACTTGGTTTCTCACTCAGGCTCTCAGACACTGCACGAGGAGGAAGAGCTCAGGATCACCCCATTCATGGAGAAGCTGGAGGGTGATGTGTCCTAGAGGAGAGCAGCATTAGGCAGTCTATGGAAGACATTGGAGTTGCTTGTGGTGGTGCTTGTCTGTGATCCCAGCATTCTGGAAAGCAGACAGTAGGCTCACAAGTTAGGCCCAGCCTGAACAATTTAGTGACTTTAGGAGACCCTGTCTCAAAAATAAAAAGTAAAAAGAGGGCTGGGGATGTAGCTCAGTGTGAGCTCAGGCCTTTGATTAAATCCCAAGTACCAAAAAAAAAAAAAGACATTGAAATTGGCATAATGGTAGAAGCTTATAAAGCCCAACTACTCAGGAGTCTAAGGAGGAGAATCCCACATTTAAGGCCAGCCTGAGCAACAGGGTGAGACCCTGTTTCAAAAAGGGCTGAGGACATAGCTCTGGTAGAGTACTTGCCTGGCACATACGAGGCCCTGGGTTCAATACCCAGTACTACCATAATGGTAATAAATTAAGTTTTAAAAGGGCTGGGTGTTGTAGCTCAGTGTTACAGCACTTGCCTAACATGCATGAGGCCCTGAGTTTGATCCCCAGTACTGAAGAGGAGGAAGAAAGGGAAGAAAACGACAGCAAGCTGTAACTTTAGCAGTACATATGCTAAAATTGGAGCAGTATAGAGAAGATGAGCATGGGCTCCACGCAAGGATGACACCCACAGTGATGAAGCATTCTGTATTTTTCTAACTTGTGTCACTTTTTTTGGTCACTTTTTTTTAAAAAAAGGCAATTTCAATAGAAGGAAAAAGATTGTTATAGGCTGAAACTTTGAATCTCAGCCTGAGTACTGGATGAATATAGTGTAGAGAACCCCTATAAGATGGGGGTATCCGCAGCTGACTCTATCTGGAGAACTAGGAGACAGGCCATGCCCTGGAAGTGAGGGTGCTACTGGGATGTGCATTCTTGGACTTGGGTCTGTGGGTGCTGTTTCCCACTGTAATCTGGACTAGAAACAGAAGCCGATTAAACAACAGTTGTGTAGGTCCTAAGTGCCCGGCCACTTTCCTCTTCATTAGCTCATTGACTCTCAGAGCAGCACTGAATTGGGTGCTGTAGTTACCCCTCAGATTTTAAGGTAAATTGTTTAGCACATTCACATAATCCCAGCACACTGAGAAGCTGAGGCAGGAGGATTACAAGTTTGAGCCCAGCCAGGACAATTTAGACCTTGTCTCAAAATTTTAAAAATGCTGGGGGTGTAGCTTGTTATAAAGTCCTAAATTCAATTCCATTTAAAAAAAAAAATTCAGTGTTCTGCAGAGTTCTGTGGAGATCTGGATAGTAAGCTGAAGCGTGAAGACCACCTGATTCCAGAGCCTGGGTTTTTAGTTATCTCATTGTATTGCCTTGTCTAATCAGGAAAGAGACTGCTTTGATGGGGGAAAGGAAGTAGAGAGCATGAAGATAGTGGGGGGTCAGGTATAGCAAAAGAACAGGCCTGGGGGCAGCAGGACGAACTTGGATTCTAGAATAACAGGTTTGGCTGACTGGAAATTGCTGCAGGTTTTTGAGAATGAGAGTGATAGAACCAAGAAAAATTGTTCTTGAAGGATAATGTGTTTTATTGAGGCATGATGAGACACGCCTATAATCCCACACTTGGAGGCTGAGACAGGATCGCTGCAAGTTCGCAGCCAGCCTGGGCTACATAGCAAGACCCTCTCTCTCGATTTAAATAAAAAAAAAAGGAATGTGTTCGATCCAGCTATGTAAGTACCAGGTTGAGAGTCATGAGCAGAGACAGGAGCTTGGAGCTGAGAGAATAGACCAGCACAGTACTCTTGTGTTTACAGTAATCGCCACCCAAACTCTACTGACCTCCCTTCTTATCCCTCATAGCCATCGTCAGCCAGTGGCAACAGGAGTCCAAAGAGAAGGTGGTGTCCCTCCTGCTGTCCCACCTGCCTCTGCTTCAGCCAGGCAACACGGAGGCGAAGTCTGAGTACATGAGGCTGTTGCAAAAAGTACTGGCCTACTCCATCGAGAGCAATGCCTTCATCGAGGAAAGCCGCCAGCTGCTGTCCTATGCTCTCATCCACCCAGCCACCACTCTGGAGGACCGCAACGCACTAGCCCTCTGGCTGAGCCACCTTGAAGAGCGACTGGCTAGCGGCTTCCGTACCCGGGCAGAGCCCTCCTACCATTCACGCCAGGGTTCTGATGAATGGGGGGGCCCTGCAGAACTGGGCCCTGGAGAGGCAGGGCCAGGCTGGCAGGACAAGCCCCCCCGGGAAAATGGACATGTGCCCTTTCACCCATCCAGCTCAGTGCCGCCAGCCATCAACAGTATTGGGAGCAACGCAAATACAGGTGAGGGTATCCCAAGAGGCCATGCCTACTTGAAAACGGTCAGTCTGGGCTGTCTTCTCTCATTCTGTGGCCTTAGGCAAGCTCCACAACCTCACTGGACCTCGACTTTATGAGGCAGTGCAGAGGCTATGAATTAGCATTCCCAGAGCCAAAGCTGACCTACAAACATCTTATTGAACCCACACTTTGGTTTCATTTTATTGTGTTTTAAAATAAGTTTGGTAGTAAATATGCTGGCACATTGCTATGATCTCAGCTATTTGGGAGGTTGAGAGGGGAGGATCACAAGTTCAAGGCCAGCCTAAGCAACATAGCAAGACCCTGTCTCTCAAAAGGAAGAAGAAACAAAAATTTATAAATTTAGTGCTATAAGGTTTTTCCCTTAAAATCAGATTTCCTTTCTTGTGAAGCCCACAAAGTTCTGGTATGTATTCCTAGCAACAGTAATAAGAGGAAACTGAGTATTAGCCACCCCTTTAAACTCTGTACAAGCTGAGTATGGTAGCACACACCTGTAATCCAAGTGCTCAGGAGGCTGAGGCAGGATTGCCACAAGTTCAAGGCTAGCCTGGGCTACATAATGAGTTCAAGGCCAGCCTGAACTAGATGGTGAGACCCAGTCTGAAAACACACATACACACACACACACAACAACAACAACAACAACAAACTCTGCACATGTGTCCCACCCAACCCCCTTTGATACCTGGCTGGCCTCTGAGGGCCTTGCGTTTGTGACCCCTGGTGGAATACAGACACCATCATCTGAAGTAGCTTCCAGCTCACCCTGGGTCTTCATATCTGGCCTCAGCTTACAGCCTTATTCCTGAGGAATCTGTTTGTAAATTAGTGTATATAAGATGTAACTCATGCTGCAAAGCATTAGTAATAATAGGTAACACTGAGCATTGACTACCCTGGCAGGGTGTGGTGGCACCTGCCTGTAATCCCAGCATTTGGGAGGCTGAGGCACGAGGATCTTTGCGAGTTTGAGACCAGCCTGAGCTACAGAGGGAGCACAAGGCCAGCCTGAACTGCGTAGCAAGACCCTGTCTCAAAAACACACAAGAAAAGAAGTCACACATAGAACAAATGATAGAACTTTCCAATGTTCAGACCCAAGCAGTGTGGTCCAGAGCCTGTCTCTGACCACTGTGCTGACCCACCAACGAAGTGGGCTTGAAAGGGCTTTCTGAGTTAAGTGCCTCAGAGGTTGGTGAGCAGATGGAATTGGTATCACAGTACCTTTTTAAAATGTTACTGAAATGAATGCATAAGTGAGGTGGCATGATTCACGTCAAGGTGCAAAGTTACAGTTTAACCTCGGGGTGGTCAGCCCTCTGGCAGGCCCTGTTAGAACAGGACAGGGGCAGTGAAATGTCACGTGTTGGTGGAATAGCTGTTACCCAGCTGTCTGATACCTGTGTGCATCTGTTACTCCCTGAGCCTGTTTCTTCTCTGCTCATACGGATATCCTGTCAGCTTGCTGGGCAGAACCTGGGAAGATAGAGGGGTAAGAGGGCATTTCCAGGGAACTCCAGCAACCAGGGTGTCTTCAACCCACTTTTCTAGTCTGGGAGCATCAGTTTCTGGGTCTGAATTGGAAGGATATATTAATAATTCTACCTAGGGCTAGACTGGGAATACAGCGTAGTGTGAAAAGTGCTTGTGTAGTATATACAGCAGCCTAGCTTCAATTCCCAGTATCACAAAATTCCACCTAAAAATTATTGAAGGCTTAGTGTTTGCTGGAAGCTACTTTGTACTTGTAAATTCAGAACCTTGGCTAAGTCTCAGAAAAGTCACTTGTTCAAAATGGCTTAGCCAGAATTTAAATCCAGGCATTCTGGCCCCGGAGCTCATACTGTGAACTACTGTATTACATTTCCTCCACCTATAAGTTTCTTTCCTAAACATGCTTAGACCTCAAATGGAGAGGTCATCCTTGCAGGATAAGCCCCCCAATATCTTCTAGGCTCCCAGGCTGGGGACCTCAACAGGTTTTTTTGTTGTTGTTGTTTTTCCTTTGGACTCTGCTGGGGGTCAAATCCAGGGCTTTGCCTGTGCTACCACTGAGCTACACCTCCAGGACCTCCAGCAGCTTTAAAGAACCAAGCTTGAACAATGTTGGATAGTGGCTTGGACCAAAACAGAAAGGAATTGGGCATTCTGTACTGAGGGCCCAGCACAAATCAAAGCAATGAGGCTAGCAAATTGGAGGAAATGGTGTACAAGTTTGGCTGAGATATATTTACATAAATAATAGCAGTAGAAGATACTTATGCTTACCACATGCCTGTCAGTATTCTAAGGGCTTCATGTGGAAATGGAGGCAGAGGGATGAATGAAGTGATCTCGCCAAGAGCACTCAGTTCAGAGGTGGCAGAGTCGAAGTTTGAACTCATGTTTTAGGGCCACAGGCAAGGGGTGGGGGATTTGAAGGATGGGACGAAGCTTTTGGGTTTCAGGCAGTAACAGGAAACAGGAAACCATTAAAATATTTTTTGAGTGGGAAGCAAGGATTGGCTTGGAAAGGCAGGAGGGCTGGGTAGGTTTGAGGTGCTGCCAAGCACAGAGCAGGATTTCTTGGAGAGTGTGAGGTCCTAGATCTCCGGCTGGCATTCCTGTTTTTATAATTCTCAGGCTATGGCCAGCTTCCACCCCAGTGCAGGGCCAAGCAGGGCTCCTCAGGAACTACACGGTCATTCCAGTCAGGGTAATTTCCTGCCCTCCCAGCTTGCCTACCCCCTTCTTGGCTGAGAAAGGAGGCAGCCAGAAGCACCAGGACAGGCACAAAGGCCTGTATTGAGGATTTTGCAGCACCATCCCCACCCCCACCTCCCAGGACCCAGTGTGCCATCTTCTAGGATTCCCAACTGGGGCAGAAGCCCAGGCTGGGGTCATCCAGAGACTTGGAGGAGCCCTGAGTTGCAAACTTCAGTGGTCTTGGTCAAAGGCTGAGGCCAATCTGATGGTGTGGGTCAGTGTACTGCCCTCTGTCAAGTGACTTCTTGGCCAGGGGCATCAGTATTGTCACACATGGTGATGGAAGGTGTTGTGGACCTGCAACCAGACTGGCCCTCCTCCTTGGGCTGGGTGTCAGTGGAGCACTGGCAGGAACCCCAGCCTTTTCCATCAGAAACAAGAACTCCCTGTGGGAACTGGGGCAGAGGACTTCAGCTTCCTGGGCCTTGATGTCCTAACCTACCCAGGCTTTTTTGGCTTTGTGTCCTTTTCTTTTCCTCTAGGCCGATGATGGCAAACCTTTTAGAGCTTTCAATGATAACAAACAGCCTGCTGTGGCTTGCATACTGTAGGTTCGCCACCACTGCCCTAGGCTGACTTGGGGCGCTACTCCGTTCCCAATATTAAACTCACAGGCTCTTAGCACCTTGTTGTCCTTATGAAACTTGGTTGGAGGGCTACTGTGTGTTGTATCCTGCACCTGATCCTGGGGATGCAGAAATGATTGGGCTAGGTTCTCATCCTTCACAAGCCCTCCGTTCAGTGGAAGAGGCTGGCCAGTGAAAACAGCAAGCGCCAGGCTTGAGGCAGCTGCAGAGGGGACACTTGAGTGAGGCTTTTTAGCAGAAACAGCTGGTGGAGAAAGATGAAAGAGCAGTGACTGGGCAGAGAGCAAAAACGTGTAAAGGTGTGGGTACTCATGGGAACCTGCCCTGTCTTGGAATGGATAACAGGTTGGAGAGGTTCAGGTATAGCTCAGTAGAACACTTCTCTAACATCACAATGCCCTGAGTTCAGTCTTCATCACTGGAGGGGAAGATTGGCTCCTGTTTACCTCAGAAATGGGATGCACAGCCAGGTATCGTGGCACATGCCTGTAGTCCCAGCGTATGGGAGGCTGAGATAGGATTGTGAGTTTGAGGCCAGCCTGGGCTACGTAGTGAAACTCTGTCTCAAAAAAGGGGGAGGGGAGATAAGTAGCCCAGTTTGGGCTCAGTACAGAAAGAAATGGAGATGTGAGGCTCAATAACAGGGAATGTTGAAGAAGCAGTTCACAAACTTCTATAAGTACTAATGAAGCAAGTCCCCTAGCCAGGCCCACTGTATTTGCTGAAGATAAAATGATGTTTATTTAGGACAGGTCCCATTGTCACAGATCTTCTATTCTAGCAGAGAGATACAGTTAATAAGTAAATAACGAGAAAAAATAATTTCAGGATAAGTGCTGTAAGAAATGTAACAAGACTAGTAGGATTGAGAGTTGAAGGTTCATTGTAGGCTTCAGAGGAGGTGATACTTCAGATGATATTTGAGGAAGCCAACTGCTGAGACTAGGAGAACAAAATTGGGCCTAGCAGCTCATCCGTGTAATCCCAGCACTTTGGGAGACTGAGGCAGGAGGAATGCAAGTTCAGGCCTAGCTCAGGCAACTTAATGACTTAGATGAGAACCTGTCTCAGAAATATAAACTAAGGGCTAAGGATGTAGCTCATCAAAGGCTGGGTGCTATCCTTAGTACTACCAAAAAAAATAGTAAGAGAAGAAGAAAGTCACGTTTGGGGCTGGGGGTGGAGCTTAGTGTAGAGCACCAGCCTACCATGAACAAGGCCCTGGGCATCTCCAATATAAGAAAGTATATACGAGAGCGCCTTGGACAAGCTTGCGTTCCAGGAAGGTATGGGGTTTCATGAGGGGTGAAAACTAGAAAAGCGTGAAGCTTGGCCTAGGTTGTTGGAGGTGAAAGCTCAGAGATGAGCAGAGGTCAAGACGTGTATGGCCTTTTAAGGTGTGCGGAAGAGTTTCGATTTTGTTCTGTGAAGGAAGCCATTGGGAATTTAAGCAGGGGCCAAACTAAGTCAGATTTGCATTTTCTTAAGGGTCAGTGTGGTGGTTCTGAGAGAAGGGGAGTGCAGGAAGCCAGAATGAAGGCTGTAGCGGTAATTCCAGCCAGGGGTATGGGGGCTTGGGCCAGGGAGCTAGCACAGGAAGCAAGGAGGTTCAGAGAAGTGGTTTAGTGAGTGCTTGAGGAGTTGGGCATTGGGTGAGGAAAGTATCTAGTAGGCTAGGCGTGCCCAACCTATGGTCCACCATTGTCTTCTCTCCTCTTTTTTTCAGTGAGGAAGAATTACCTTGGGGTGTATATAGAACATATAATATAGTTAATATATAAAAGTAAGAAAACTTCTTTCTTAAATATGGGGGTTTTTTGGAAACATTGTCTCATTGCATAGTTGGAGCTGGCATTGAACTATTTAGCCCATGCTGGCCTCAAACTGGCACTGATTCTCATGCCTCAGCCTCTCAAGTGCTGGGATTATAGATGTTTGCCACCACACCTGGTTTAAAATATTTTTTGTTATAACATTTTTAAAAAGCCAGGCATGGTGGTGCTCACCTGTAATCCCAGCAGCCTGGGAGCCCAACCAGGGCAGTTTTGGCAAGACCTTCTCTCAAAATTAGAAATTAAAGGGCCAGGGATGTAGCTCAGTGATAGAGTGTTTGCCTAGCATTCATGAGGCCATGGGTTCAATCCCCAGTACCCACCACACATACCCGCCCAAAAGAGAATAGAGGAAAAGTAGCCCACAGGTTGGACATGTCTATGATAGGCAGTTTTAGACCCCAGGGGCCCTCGCCCTTGGCCTTGTCTGCAGGGTATGGTCTCTTGTGATTAGATCCCTAAGCCTGATCTCTGTCTTCTCCCTCTCTGACCAGGTCTCCCCTGCCAAATCCACCCTAGCCCACTAAAGCGCTCCATGTCACTCATCCCAACGAGCCCCCAAGCTCCTGGTGAGTGGCCAAGTTCAGAGGAGCTCAGTGCCCGGGCTCCTTTCACCACTCCGGACCACGCACCCCTGTCACCCCAGAGCAGCGTGGCCTCCTCTGGCAGTGAGCAGACGGAGGAGCAGGGCTCCAGCCGGAACACTTTCCAGGAGGACGGCAGTGGTATGAAAGGTATGAGGAGAGGGCAGCACCAGGAACCTTCTCCAAGGTTTCTGTAGAGCTTATATGACATAAAATTTGGCCGTAGCTGCCATTCACCTACCACTGTGAGGAGGGTACGGGTCCGAGAAGAGTGGATAGTCCCTGCCTTTTGTGCTCAAGACAGAGCATAGAGACCCCCACATCCACTCACACAGGCTCTGGTCTAATAGGGGAGCTATGTCGCACAAGTAACTGATTGATAGAGAAATCAGTACGGTATCTTAACAGCTGCCCTGCCAAGGGGAGTCCACCTGAAAGAACTGCAGAGCGGATAAAGTTCTTTACGACGCCACTCCTCCCAATTTTCTGCAGGTTTAAGGCTGCTTATGGTTTATACCTGTTCTCTCCCCACAATCCTTCCTCTGCCCTGTTCCCAGGGTCAAACTCCTGACCTTTTACCCTCCCTCCTTTTCCACAGATGTGCCCTCGTGGCTCAAGAGCCTCCGCTTGCATAAGTATGCGGCCCTCTTCTCGCAGATGAGCTATGAGGAGATGATGACGCTGACGGAGCAGCATCTGGAGTCCCAGGTGATGCTGATGGCCTTTAAGGAGGTGTTGGGGGCAGCACCCTTCAGCATTATCCCTGAAACCCAAGCCTTGTCTCTCTAGTTCCTATCGGGGCGCCCCAGGTACTTCATCTGCTCATTTCCAGCTTCTCTACCTCCTTCCTTACCACAGAATGTCACCAAAGGCGCCCGCCACAAGATAGCCCTAAGCATCCAGAAGCTGCGCGAGAGGCAGAGCGTCCTCAAGTCCCTAGAGAAGGTGAGGACCTGCTGTCCCATCTGCAAGGCGAAGCGGTTACTGAGTCTACCATTGGCTTTGGGTCCACCTTGCTGCCAGCTGCCTGGGCCACCTTCTCTTTGGGCCTCCCCACTCTTCACATCTAACTTCAGTGGCCTCCGCCCTGGGGAGCCAGACTCTAGAAATCACGTGCAAGTCAGCATCAGAGGGATTACTTCCTGGTAGCTAAGAGGCTTCCCTCCATGTCTGTCCAGAATCTTTTAATGCGACCTCTCTTCTCCCTTTCAACTCTTCTGTTTGTCTGTGTGTGATCTCTTCCCATTTGCTTGTTTCTGATGCATTCACTGCCTTTTGTTTGCCTCTATTTGCATGCCTCTTGCTTTCTTCCTGATAGCTGCCTTTGGGTATTTCCTTCCTTCTCAGTGTCTTAGGCTAAATCTTTGATTTCTCCTTGGTGTGACCCTGTGGCCCCAATATTAGACTACCTTCTCCTCAGTTCCATGAGCCTCCACCTTCAAGGGGAAGAGGGAATATGAGTGTATAAGTATGTGCTTGTCTTTGTGTGAGCTGGCAGTGTCCTTACCTGTCTTCTCTGTGTGCCTGAACCCAGGGTGCCAGCCTGTCTCCTCCAAGCTATGTGGGACCCCACTTGTGTAGGCATTGTCTGTGCCTCACTGTGGAGATGTATGTGACCCCAGCCATGTCCTCCCGACACAGGATGTGCTGGAAGGTGGGAATCTGCGGAATGCTCTGCAGGAGTTGCAGCAGATCATCATCACCCCCATCAAGGCCTACAGTGTCCTTCAGGCCACTGTGGCTGCCGCTGCTGCCACCCCTACTGCCAAAGATGGGGGTCGAGGAGAGCCACCGCTGCCAGGTGCTGAGCCTCCCCTAGCCCACCCTGGCACAGACAAGGGTACTGAGGCCAAGGACCCTCCAGCTGCGGAGAACTACCCCGCTCCACCAGCTCCAGCTCCCACTGATGGCAGTGAGCCAGCCCCAGCTCCTGTTGCTGATGGAGACATCCCCAGCCAGTTTACACGGGTGATGGGCAAAGGTAAGAGCAGCTAGGGCCTACACCCAAATCCTGAGGCAGAGCTGGGTGAACACAGGTGTCAAGGATCAAGTCCAAGTTAATGTGGAGGGAGCGGGGCTTCTTAAAACCTGCTAGACACTGGAGCACTGCAGAAAGGAGCTGAGACAGGTGATGCCCTTGCCCTCAAAGCGTCTCCATCCTGAGCAGAAGATGGAGCAGAAGTCCAAGTTAATGTGGAGGGAGCGGGGCTTCTTAAAACCTGCTAGACACTGGAGCACTGCAGAAAGGAGCTGAGACAGGTGATGCCCTTGCCCTCAAAGCGTCTCCATCCTGAGCAGAAGATGGGACAGTGTCAGAAGGGTCTGCCTGCAATGGAGGGGGAAACCGATACAGGGAACACAAGCTTGTGATGGTTTAGCCTTTGCAGAAGAAGCATGGTATAGAAGACTTTACAGTTATATCCTTACTTTTTTGGCTGTATGACCTTGGACAAATGACTTGGCTGCTGTGTGCCCCAGGTTCCTCAGGCTAAAAATGCCCACACTGACAAGATTGTTGCTGTTGCAAGAATTAAAATGTATTCGTTGACTGCATATCTGCCTTGGGTCAGGCCCTGTGGTGGGTGCTTTACACTTCTAGCTCATGTCACCCCAGGTGCTGTGCCTACCACTTAGTTGGGGCTTAACCCGCTGGAGTCTGCTGTCTTTCCTGCACCAGCCAGCTAGGGCTGAAGGGGCTGGAGGACCGTAAAAGGCATGCTGGGACTAAGCTGCTCTTCCCTGTGTCCCCCAGTGTGTACCCAGCTTCTGGTGTCCCGACCAGATGAGGAGAACATCACCAGTTACCTCCAGCTCATCGAAAAGTGCCTAACTCATGAGGTAAGATCTCTAGGATTCTGAGAAAAGAAAGGTTGCCCTATCTCTCTAGAACCAGCATTCCAGTGGGGCCTGCCTGGTACCCACCTATCTCTCCAGCCCCTCATCTCACCAGCCTTGGCTTCAAGGGCGGCTTCTCAGAGGCTTTGTACATACTCCTGTCAGATTAGTCCCCTCCCTCCCATTTGCCCCCAGCTCTCAACAGCCTCACCAAATGCATTACACCTCCTGCTCTTTGCCCTCGTTGGGAAGGATGACCTTGCACAGTTATCATTGTATGTGTGTGTCTCCCACGTAAGCTGTGCACTACACGGACACAGCCACCTCTGCCCAGCATTGCCTGGCACAGGGCAGGTGAGCATGAACACCTAAGCAGTTGATGGAAGGCAGGTATAAAAGCAATACCCACCCTCCCCAATCCTAGGCTTTCACTGAGACCCAGAAGAAGCGGCTGCTGTCCTGGAAGCAGCAAGTGCTGAAGCTCCTCCGGACGTTCCCACGCAAAGCTGCTCTGGATATGCAGAGCTACCGGCAGCAGAAGGGGTAGGCGAGTGCTTCCTAGGCCCTTGTGGTTGGCAGATCAGTACTTAGAGGAATGATTGCATCTTGGGCTAGGTTGAGACTCAGGAAAGTCAGGGTGTTACCAGTAGAAGAGGATGCGAGGGATCGGGGGCATAACTCTGGTAGAACACTTGCCTAGCATGGATGAGATACTGGGTTCCATCTCCAGCACTGCAGAAAAATAAATGGGATGCTAAGCTGGTGAAAGATAACACGTGTAGAGAGCAAGCCCTTCCCTGTACCTTTCTCCTCAGCTATGTGCAGGAGCTCCAAAGTCCTTTCTTGCACCAAACAGATGACGAATCTGTCTCTTGAGCAGTGAAGTTCAGAGAACTGTTTTGAATGGATGGTGAAGAAACTTCTCATATTCCCCACCTCCATCCTGGGGGATACCTCTGGGTCAGGAGGAGACAGGAATGTGTTGCAGGGATGTGGTTAGGGAATCTTCACTCAGAGCAGGTCCTTGATCTGTCATGCTCATTGGAGTTGTGGGGAAGGTGAACGGAGAGGGGCACAGATGGCCTCCATCCACCTAAGCTAACATCCTGTCTTTTGCTCTCTCACAGCTGGGCATTCGGCTCCAACTCTCTCCCCATAGCTGGCTCTGTGGGGATGGGGGTGGCCCGGCGGACCCAGCGGCAGTTCCCAATGCCTCCCCGAGCCCTACCACCTGGCAGGATGGGCCTGCTGAGCCCCTCAGGCATCGGGGGCGTCTCCCCTCGACATGCCCTTACCAGCCCCAGCCTTGGGGGCCAGGGCCGACAGGTGAGCCGACTGGAAGCAGAGGCCTTGGGGCTTCTGGGGCAGGGGCAGTGCCTGAGGTGTACATGTCCATGTATCTGCACCTGGGCCTCACTGCGAGGGAAGGGCACTCCTTTGCCAACTCCCCCACTCTTAGGCCCCAGCCTGTTTTCTACTCACCCCTCCACCTCTTGCTGTGTCCCGTGCAGAACCTGTGGTTTGCCAACCCCGGCGGCAGCAACAGCATGCCAAGCCAGAGTCGCAGCTCTGTGCAGCGCACCCACTCACTTCCGGTCCACTCGTCACCCCAGGCCATTCTCATGTTCCCTCCAGGTGAGGTACCCTGCCTTGCCAAACTCCTCAGCTGGCCTTTCTCTTTTGGGTCTCATGGTCACTGTCCTCTCTGGACTGCAAAAGCAACTTACCCTATACTTCCCACTGCTCTGCACCCATCTGCCCCTACCCAGGGAGAGGATTTTTTTCCATTCTGTTTCAGTTTTGTCTCAGATCCTGCTTTCACTCTCTCTGCACCTCTTTCTTTCACTCCTTACCCCCAACCCATCTCCACATCTTTCCCTTCCTACGCAGTGATCTTAGAGCCCTGGTGGATCTGTTACTGTGTATAGAATCATTAAATACTCAATTTGGAAGAGGTAGAGGGAATGAAAGGTGTGCATATCCTTCCCATCAGCCACTTGCATTCTTTCAGAAGCCAATGATCTCTACCTCTTAGACAAGGCTCTGCTCCCCAGGGCGTTGGGAATGGGAAGGCCCTTCACCTTCTGCTCACAGAAGTCAGGAGAACAGGTGGCAAGAGGAGATGAGAGAGCAGCAGCCGTGGGTCCCTGCCTTGCTGGACAAGAAGGGATTGACTTCCCTACTGGGCCCACTGCTGGGCACTGGGCTGGTCATTGATGGCAGCCCTAGAGAGATCTTAGGTTTTCAGGTGACCCTAAGCTCTTGATGTTATATAAACTGTCACATCAGTAGAGTCTTAACTTATGAGATGATGCGTACCAACACCTGTGCAATCAAGGGACCCCCCCCCCATCTGTTGTATTCGTCCTAGCGTAGGCTATAGCTTCTATAAATTACCTGAACAAGTGGAAGGATGAACTATAGGAGCAAAACACAAGAACTATTGTCCTTTCCAGTGTGCTGTGTGCCCAGCTCCATCAGGCCCTGTAAATTGAATCCTTCCAGCTGTACATGGGAGGACTCTGTATTAATCCAGTCCTAACAGTCACCAGCTAGTCAAAGTGACTTGTCCAAGTTTACAAGATGTTTTTAAGCCAGGCATGGTGGCACACACCTGTAATCCCAGCACTCGGGAGGCTGAGGCAGGAGGATCATCATGAGTTCGAGACCAGCCTGGGTTACAAAGTGAGCTCAATGCCAGCCTGAACTGCACGGCAAGACCGTGTCTCAAAAAGACCAAAAAAAAGATGCTTTTAGAGTCGGGTGTGTTGCACTGCTTTCCTCTCCATGCCTTTAATCTCAGCACTTGGGAGGCTGAGGCAGGAGGATTGCTTTGAGTTTGAGGCCAGCCTGGGCTCCATAGTGACTTTCAGGCCAACCTGAAGTTCATAGCAAGATCCTGACTTCAAAAAAAGATGTTTTTAGGAGAGACAGAGCTCGACAGGACCTGAGCTCAAGGTTTGGATAGGTGGTGTTGAGAGGTGAGGCTGGAGACAGGAGCTAGTGCTCCTGAGTCAAGGGCCGAGCACAGACCTCCTTCTGTTTAAGTGAGGAGCTGAGGAATCTTTTAAGTAGTTTGGGTGGAGCCAGCTCTGCCCAGGGATCTGGGCTGCTTCCCAGGTGCTGGAATAGGAAGGAGGCCCATTTAAGAAGCAGCTGAGGACAAGCCCCATGGCTGTTGTCCTACATTGCCCCACCTGTTCTGCCTGTGTGGATTCCATCCTGCCTACAGGAACAAGTCCACGTGGAAACAGGAAGGGTTTTAATTTAGCTTTTGTACCAAGCACAGAGAGCAAGTCATCAGTCAAGGGTTGTGGGCCAGATGCCCAGACCACCCGATGTAACTTACATTTTGTGTCTGAAATAATCACAGCCTGCCTGCGACCTCCAGGAAAGGTCCCTTGGCTTCACATCACTTCCTCTGTTTGCAAGTCCATCTTTTTTTGCATTACCCAGCCTGTATCCTTGCTGCTGTCTCCCCCCCTGATCTGTGACACCCTCAGGCCAATGCCCTGTCCTTCCTGTTTGCCTGCTGTGTCCCTCCAGGCGTGTGCATGCCTCACAAGCTCTTATTTCTGTCTCTCGGTCCCAGCTCTCCTAACTGGAGCCTTTATCACCCCAGCTCTCCTCTCTGTCCAGTCCATTCAGTCCGTACCTCACCACCTCCCTTCTTTCTCCCACCCAGACTGCCCGGTCCCTGGGCCTGACCTGGAGATCAATCCCACCCTGGAGTCTCTGTGTCTGAGCATGACAGAACACGCCTTGGGTGGTGAGCATTTCCTCTTTCCCTGACCCAGCTCCCACCTACCCAGCGTCTCCGTCTCTGAACTGAGCAACTCAGAGTCATCCTGAGGGTCCCGAGGGGAGGCGAGACTCCAGGGAGGGCCCGCCTGGGATGACAGGCCACATGAGTGCCTTTCCTTGGGCCTACCACCAGCTCCTGATCTTCCTCCCTTCCTCCCTTTCTTATCACAGATGGGACAGACAAAACCTCCACCATCTGACAGGACCCACAGCCCAGCGCACCCATAGGCTCCCCGGGCGGCGGGCGGGGGCCAGCCCCCAGCGGGCTTCTCTGCAGCAGCGAGAGGGTGGGCTGGCTCAGCTATACATTCTAATATTTTTCTACTCTCTCACCCTTTTAACTTTTGTTTAACATTGGTACACCCCCTGCTCACTCCCAGGCCCGTTGAGGGCTCTCTGCTGAGGCCAGGGCACAGAGGGGGCAGCCAGGACAAGGGGCAAGGACTAGCCCGACTGCCTTCCTCGCCATCCACCACCTGGCCTTGTCCCATCCCTCCAGATGGCTGACAGCCTGCTACTCCCCAAGGGAGCAGACTCCCCAGAGACACTGACTGCTGCCCTGTGGAGCCTCTTGACACTGGGGAGGAATGAGCAGGCTAGGCAGCTGGCTTGCCCAGGATGTTATTGGAGAGGAGGAGAATGAGGAGAGGGATGGTTCTCCCTCTGCTGTCCTCTGCCCTTCCCCATTCCCGCCATTCCCAAGGACAGGAGCCACCTGCTCACCTTGCTTACCCTGTTTCTCAGAGGTTCTCTACAATTAATTTCTTAGGCCTATTTAAGATACATATTTATATAGTTCTTAACGGTTTTTCTCTCTGATCATTCCCTGTCATTTTTAGAATCTCCAGGCTTCCCTCTCAGCCAAGACAGTGGCTGAGGGAGCCTGGACCTTATGTGGGGAGAGGGCAGAGCCCCCTCCTCCAGACCCCCTTCCCCGTCCCCGTCCCCAGCCCTGGCTACCAGGTGCAGAGGTTGAAGGTGGACAGCCAGGGCAGCGGTGAGGTCAGGAAGTCTGTTGCCTTAACATCTCCTCCCCCCACCAACACATCCTTCTCCACTCCCAGGTCTGGTTGCTGAAAGACTTGGGAGTTAGGAATGTGGGAAGGGGATTGTTTGGTTTTGATTTTATCCCTGCCCCCTTTTTCTTTCAGCCTTTCCCACCCCCCATTATGTCATGACCTCATGTAAGTGGAACACTATATCATTTATTACCCAGAGGCGCGTCCTAGCCCCAGTCACACAGCCCCTCTAGTCCCTGTTGCTGATGGGGGTTTGTGCTGGGGTCCAGGTGGAGGGGAGGGGGTTTGGGGGTTCAGACTGTGGGGAAGCCAGGGTTCCCCTTTTCCAACCTCCTGTTCCCCTTCAACTCACCCCCTCACTGGGACATTCTCAAGCTTTTCACACCGAAAAGGAAAAAAAAAATGTTATTTTTAGATACATTTTATGAATAACTTTTGTTATGAATATGGCTGGTAACCATTGTGTATGTTATTAAAGATACAAAATGTTGAGAAAAAAACCAAACAAACAAAAAACAAAAAAAAAATTGAAAACCACCGCCCTCCCTGCACTGTCAGCCCATTCCCTGGACCTCCTTGCCCTTGCCCTCCTGGTCTGTGGACCTCCTTCCACTCTGAGCCCAGAGAGGGGGCGGAAGCCAGGGGGTAGAGTGGCCCTGGGGACCTGCCATTGGATCCCCACCTCCTCTCCCAGTGCCGGGCTGGGTGGGGTGTCAGGTTTATTTATGTACCTCTTGCACACTCATCAACCTATGCAAGTCCCCACCCCGGCCCCTCCATGTTTCTGTGCCTTTGCTCATTCCCGTCAACCTCCCAGGACTTCTCCAGCCCCCTCCCACTAACCACAGGAAGTGGGATGGATGGGCCACCTCATTTGGAATTAGCAGGGTGTCCTCATGGGACCCTCACCTCTCCCCAGCCGGTTGGTCCCATCTTCACTCCCCATCAGGGTGAGCTGACCTTGCCTGACACTGGGAGGTGAAGAGGGACCCCCTCCCCCACACAAAAGGAGGCCAGAGCTGCGCCCCTCCTGACAGCAGAGTGCAGGACGCAGGCGGCCCCACTCTGATGGGCAGGACCCAACCCTCTCGCTCTGCCACCAAGCCCTCTTCCATGATTTTACCCTCCCCGCCTACTTCTGTCCCCAGCCCCACTGGCAGAATCAGCTTTGAGTAACTGTACAGTTTTTCTCGCTGTTGGGGAAGACTGACTTGTTGGAGTTTCACTTGTTTAATGGTCTGGGCTTATTTTGGAGAAAAAAAAAAAAAAAAAAAGATTCTGACCTTTGTTATTTTCTACTTTGTGGGAAACTCTGTGGCCTTGCTTCTGTACCTCAGCTTGGGATCCTAGAGCATCTGGAGTTGGGTGTGGGGGGGCTGGGTGAAATGAGACCAGAGGCACTGGGAAGGAAATCAAGAGGTTGGCTTTATTAACAGCGAAGGTTGAAGGGTTGGGGAATCAACCAAGTGAAGGGCTCACAAAGAGACCACTAGAAAAGTGCCTCCCTGCTCTAAGAATGGTGTCACTCCAGCCCTCTTCAAAAGCCCCAAGGCTCAGTCACTGTCGCTGTCGGCCTCACTGGACTCAGTAGCCGCGGCTTCACTGCCATCCTCCTGGGCTGAGTGCTCACTGCCACTGGGGAAGGGGCTGGCGCTGCGGCTCCGACTCCGGCTGCGGCTGCGGCTCCGCTGGCCACCCCCATCACTGCCGCTGTCCGAATCATTGTCACTGCCACCACGGGCCTGTCCTCTGTCCTCATCATCAGAGTCAGCATCGTCCTCCGAGTCAGCATCACTACCAAAGATCTCCTCTTTGTCTCGGGCAGCCCGGGCCTCGTCCTCACTGCTCTCATCTTCTCCGCTGCCACTCTTGTCACTTGCCTCGTCCCTGTCACCCTCCTCCCGGTCACTCTCACTGCCAGAGCGCTCATCCTCACTGCCTTCTTTCTCGCTGCTGCTGCCCTTCTCGTGTTCCTCATCTGTGAGGGAGGAGGGAAAGGTCAAGGCCAGTTTCTCACCCTCCCGGGGCTCCCAGGGCTCCCAGGGCTCCGGCCTGTCCCCTCTTTACCTGAGCCCCCAGCTTCTTTGTCTTCGGTCTCCATCTCCTCCTCTTCTTCCTCCTCGGGTTCGTGGTTTTCCAGCTGAGCCTTGCGTGCCTCCTAGAAGCAGAAGTAGGATTGGAAGGGGGAGGGTATGATGCCAGGCCTCTGTCCTCACCCACTACCACCCTCCTGTTGGGGCCCTCGGCCAGCAATGCTTGTTACCTGGGCTTCTAATTCCTTCTCGTTCATGTCTCGGTGTTTGACCACAAGGAGGGCGTTGGTACCTGACTGAACCCCAGCCTTGGCCCGGCGCTTACTAAGACGGACCCTATAGAGGACAAGTTGCAAAAGAAGGGTGGAAGGTGCAGTTAAAGACCCCTCCACTCTGGTTTCTCTTCAGATCGTATAAATCTTTCACCTGAGATTCCCATTGGAGGAACAATTCAAAAAAAAGTCAAAAGCCTCCCCTGTGAGGGGGTCTGGTCTTACTTGATTCCCCACCAGTGGCTGGCCCAGAGCACACCCGGGGAAAGATTACTTTTACAAATATATGGTGTAGATATGTGTTAGATATGTCACATGTGTATAAATTAGTTATCAACCAACACTTAAGAAGTCGGAGATACCAAATCCGGATTTCTGGCTTTTGAGAAACAGCAACTTCTGTCCCCCGGGGAACAGAACTTTTCTGCCCCTAACACAACAGTGGGCTGAAATAGGGTGTGGTGCTCCTTGGAAGTTACAGCCAACAGGTCCAGGTCACCCAGAGTCAACCAATTCTCTGCTGCTTGTCACATTTCTTGTCTGGCTATGGGATGAGAATTTTGGATCTCTGCTCCAACCCTTACACCCAGAGCTCTAGCTAAGCAATTAACTTTGAGCCTGCAGAGAGTTTTAGGGTCATGTTCTTGGTTTCTGTTTGGTTTTTTGAGTCAGTCTTGCTATGTACGGCCTTCAACTCACTATGTAGCCCAGACTGGCCTCAAACTCACAGCGATTCTCCTGCCTCAACCTCCCAAAGTGTGGCCCTACAGGTGTGTGCCACCATGCCCATCTAGGGCCATGTTTTTGAACTTGGATGTCAGGTGTTTCATTTATGTTACGCAGGTGGCTCACGCCTGTAATCGCAGCACTTGGAGGCTGAGGCAGGGCAGAAAGTTTTAAGTCCAGCCTGGGCAACTTAGAACCCTGTTTCAAAAGGGATAGGGATGTAGCTCAGTGCCAAGGCCCTTGGTTCAAATTCCGGCACCACCCCTCAGTGCAAATATACATACATACATAGATGTATATGCTAGTATTATGGAAAAGGTGGCTGTCCATCCTACATATTACACAAAAGCTCTAAAGGCCTCTAGCATACCTGATGACTTCTATTTGGTGCCAGGGATTAAACTCAGCCTTACGCTACCACTGAACTATACACTCCAAACACCATGAACACTTTTTTTTTTTTTTTTTTTTTTTTGGAGACAAGGTCTCGCTCTGCAGTTCAGGCTGGCCTTGAACTCACTTTGCTTTTTGTGGTGGTTTTTGTTTTTATGTTTTTGTTTTGTTTTTTGTCCTTTTGAGATAGGGTCATACTGTGCAGTTCAGACTGGCCTCGAACCTGCAACGATCCTCCTGCCTCAGCCTCCCGAGTGCTGGGATTAGAGGTGTGCACCACCATGCACAGCTCCCCTCTTTTGAGACAGGGTCCCACTTAAATTGCGTAGGCTTGCCTTGAACTCACAATCCTACCTCTACCTGCCAGGATTACAGGCATGTGCCACCCTGCCTGCCTTGAACCAGGGTTTGAAGCAGAGAGGCAAGCTAATCAGGAGTGTGCTGAGTACCTGGTCTCCAACTCATTGTAGTACACCCCATCACCCTCTCGGAAAATGAAGAAGTAGTTCTCCTCATAGCCCTTGCTAGCCTTGTTCTTCACATTCCAGTTGTATTCCCGAGCAATCTTGTAGTCATACCTGAGGATGAAAACACAAGGTCAGCCATATTTTGTCCCTGAGGAGGAGAAGGGGGAAAACACTTCTCAATCCCTCAAACCTAACCCAACCCACGAACACATCATCAGGTGCATAGTCCATCTCCTCCTCTTGGTCTCGCTTTCGTTTTTTTAGTGTCTCTTCCACAGGCAAGAAATAGGCCACAAACTGGTTTCCTTCTTCATCCATCATGCCCCTAGTTAGGTAAAGAAGGGAGACTAATGGGTGAGGGCAATGGGATAACAAGGAACAGGCCAAGATGGGCAGCAGGGCCACTGACCTGATCATGGCCTGAGACATCATCTCTAGGGCAGCTGCACCACTTGTGTCCTTGGGTGCTGGGTCTGAGTCAAAGATGACCTGAGCGCATGGGTTGATCCACATCTGGCAGGAAGGAAAGCACGGGGGTTAGTCTGCCACAGGCAGCCGAGGGAGGCTGTCCCTCCACCTCCCACCCTAGGCCATCACCTTAAAGTCTGGGAAGACAGGCATGACCTCCACTGGTGTCACTCGGGGCTTGCTGTAGTGCTGGGAGATCTGGAGGGTGGAGGGACAGAATTGAGAGGAATGAGGAAGAGCTGATCCACACCTCTGTCTGCATTGCTTCTCCCTATCCCAGCCTGTCAATTACCGATTTCTGGGCATCTTCAAAAGTCTTCTCAATGGCTGTGATCTGGCTATCCCTATCTTTATATATTTCCTCCTCAGTGAACTGTTGCTTCACAGAAACCCCAATCCTAGGGATAAAAAGACTTTTTTTTAGGGGCCACTGGACAGACCTGAAATCTTCACCTTCCCTCCCTTCCTGTCAGCAGCTTACTTGACCTCAGGCTTCTCATTAGAAATGCCATAACGATTGAACTCGGTAGAGATGTACTCGGTCTTACGCATCCATGGCACCACCTTCGCATGCTGCTGGGACCTAGGGTAGGAGATCAGGCACCTCAAGGTTCCACACAGGATGTCCTCCCACTTGCAGAGTCCTCTACCCACTTGGGACCGTCTCACCTCTTAGAGCTGGTAGGGGCCTGAATCTCCTCTTCCAAAAGCTTCTCATCAGCTGGATCCAGGAGAACTAGAGAGCAAGGGGGCAGGAGGACTGTGAGGGAGGCCCAGGCCTGGACTATGCTGGCCTAGCACAGACCTTCCACTCACCCTACACACTGCTGGGGTCAAAGACGCCCCCCCACCATCTCCCCACACACCATTGGGGTCAATGCGGTAGGTGTCAGGGTTGATGAGGTCAATAGTGACCCCCAGGTCTGGCTCAGTCAGGAGGTCATGTTTGTGCTGTTTCTCCAAAGAAGTTGCTTTGTACTGGACAAACCTGCGTGAGGAAATACACTACATTTGGTTTCTGGATTCCAACTTCATCCCTCATATCCCTGCTTCCCAGAAGATAAGTTTCTCTTGGGAGGAGCTCAGAATGGAGTGCGGAGTGTTCCTATGTTGGAGTCAGGCTGGCTGTCCAGTGGGAGGAGACCTGGGTACTGCTTATTGAGAGCAGGTGTTGTGGTACAGGAGGTTGAACCCAATGACTCTGCACTGAGGTACATTCCTCCCCCAGGTTTGAGACAAAGTCTTGCTAACTCACTAAGTTGCCAGCCTGGGCTCCAACTTTTGATCCTCCTGTCTCAGCCTCCTAGAGTGCAAGGATTTTAAGTGTGTGACACTACATCCAGCTCTAGGTTTTGTTTTTGCAGTACAGGGGATTGAATCTACGGCCTCACACATTCTTGGCAAGCACTCTACCACTAAGCTACATCCTCACCCTTCTTCGTGTTTTGAGGCAGGCTAGCTAACTTGCACAGGCTGACCTAAAATCTGCACTCCTCCTGCCTCCACCTCCTGAGTAGTGGGACTGCAGGTGTGAATCACCGTCCCCATTCATTCATATTTATTGAGCACCTGGCATTATGTCCTGGAAAGGTACTGTGCTAAGCCCCAAGGAACTCCTATTTCTGAGTAGTTTCCCCATCCCCGATCGTGGTCTTACCTGTTCTGATCAAAGGGGTAGGTGATGAACTTAGGGTCGAAGGGGATGTCAGGCAGACTATTGCAGTACTTGACACGGCAGACCACTCCAGACCTAGTAAAACAGTAGGTCAAAACTGGGTTCCTCCTTCCTCACCTCTACTCCCAGACCCCTCCCCTGTCCCTCCTCAGAAAGCAAGTGGCACTCACCTCTCAGGCAGAGTCCGGTGGGAATTGGGCCTGGTGAGGAAGAGAGATACTGATAGCATGATGGAAAGAACAGGACTGACACAGAAGTGAAAGAGGCTTCTGCATGCCTAAAAGCTGGACAGAGAAGTGGTGCTTCGAGTGCCTTAATGGAGATATCTGATATTCCATTTCCTTTTGGAGGAAGTGTCCCCAAATGCTTTAATGAATGAATTCAAGTGCTCAAGCCCTCTGGGAAGGAACGTCGTCCAGTGCTTTTAATAAAGAACTATGTACTCAAGATGCTTTTGGGAGAAGGGTCTCCAAAAGCTGACTGGAGAGACCTAAGTGCAAGCTCATTTTTGAAGTTTCTAACGATGTCATCCCAGAACTCGATAGCAAGAGAGGAGGGGGCACCACCCGCTCCCAGAAAGAAGCCGCCGCCTGTCAAAGGTGCGCGCTCCTGACGTCACGGGCACACCTGCGGGCCCGCAGCGCTGTAAGCGGACACCTCACCCTCGGTACCCCGCCCTGCCGAAACCCAGATACACACCGGGGGAAAGCAGTAAAGCCAGGTGGCGTGGCACCTACCTGTGGCCCTCCTCCCGCTGGGCCTGGGTCTGGATGGTGGGCGCCATAGCGCGGAAGCGACGGGGGTGCGGACCGAGTCCTCGCTGCGCCGCGGGCAGACACCGAGGGGCGTGCCAACTTCAGTGAACGCCTGCTCCGAGGCAGGGTTCGGGTCGGCGCTGCTCTCAGCCGGGGTTGGGACGAAGTGAGGTGGCTGGAACAGCTCCGGGACCAACTCACATAAACGCGCAGGCAAATCCGAGGACGGACTCGCAGTTCCACCTCCACCAACGGTCGCCCAGAAGCTGAGGACCCGGGCCTGTCGCTTCACTCCGCAAGGCCTTCGGGAAATAGAGTCCGGAGCAAAACCACACACGGATTGGCCAGCTGTTGGGTGAGGGCGGAGCGAGGCAGGAAAGGCCTCTTCTGATTGGTGAAAAGATGTTGCGGTCCGGACGTCGTATTCGAGAGTGAGGGAGGGTGGGGCTTATTGAATCCTCTGGAGGCAGAGCTAACCAGCAAACAGGCCCTACGGCTGAAGAAGCAAAGAAACCGAGACGGACGCACTTGTGACGCACTTCCGGCGCTCTAAGAGAGGAAAATGGCTGCATCCCAGCAGCAGGCTTCAGCGGCTTCCTCAGCTGCTGGGGTGTCAGGTCCGGGTTCGACTGGTGGCCCGGGTCCCCAACAGCAGCAGCAACCGCCGGCACAATTGGTGGGACCTACCCAGAGCGGGCTTCTGCAACAACAGCAACAGGACTTCGACCCTGTACAGCGCTATAAGATGCTCATCCCGCAGCTGAAAGAGAGTCTGCAGGTGATTGGCCTGGAGCTTCACGGAAGGGGCTAGCGCGACTTGGTGGTCTGACTCCAAGGCCGCCTGCCCAGGGGCTATTTAAGAGAATCAACCGGGCATGGTGGCGCACGGCTGTAATCCCAGCACTCGGGAGGCGAGGGAGGGTCGTTGCGAGCCCCAGACCAGCCTGGGCTACAGAGTGAGCTCAAGGCCAGGCTGAACTGCATAGCGAGAACTTAACACAAAAAAAAAAAAAAAAACGTAGGCGGGGGAGGAAGAGTAAAACTTGTTCTTTTTTGTGAGGCCAAAGCGAAGCTCTTTGAGGTGGGACTAGTGGGATGCGGTTTAAGTGAGAAACCGGGCTTTTGTCGTTAAAACTGGGAGAAAGTACTGGCCTGTACGGAGATTCTGCGCGTAATTAGGGATGAAGGCTATATCCGGAAGTTACTGGTGGGAACCCGGGGTGAGGCCAGGCCCGTGGGAAAATAAAAGGGAGATTGCTACAGGAATGGAAATGAACTGTAATCCCAGCAATAGCCGTGAGTTCGAGGCCAGCCTGAACTGCACAGCGAGACTCTGTCTCAAAAAAAAAAAAAAAAAAAGGAATGGAAATGAGCATCGTTATGGACTGTCACGAGGGGAGGTGCCGAATGAAGAGGAGGTCTGAGATTGGGTGGATTTCAAAGAACAGTATTGTTCTACCAAAGACACTATATTTCCTTCTGTTTCTCCATCTCCTTTGCCTTTTTTTTTTATAATAGACCTTGATGAAAGTTGCAGCCCAGAACTTGATTCAGAACACTAACATTGATAACGGACAGTGAGTACAGCCCATTTTCCCATGATATCCTATCTTCCAGCCTTAGATAGTGTTCCCTCAGTGCCCCGCCCCTCCTGTTTTCAAGCCCTGCCTCTGATCTCCTGGGGCCTGGTGCCTGGTTTCCTGATGAATGGTTGAGTAGACAGTGGTGTCCCAGAGTTTGAGGATCCATTCCTCAATCACCCTTTTCTCCTGGATTGTAGGAAGAGCAGCGATGGACCCATACAGCGCTTTGACAAGTGCCTGGAAGAGTTCTATGCCCTCTGTGACCAGCTGGAGCTCTGCCTGGTAAGGGGTATTCTGGACATTGGGTGACCGCAGCTCCTGCTTTAGTCTCCAGGATCTTCAAAACCCTCACTTAGCACACTCACTCAACCTCTTCTGGCTAGGCGTGGTGGTGCATGCCTGTAATCCCATCACTGAGGAGGCGGAGGCAGGAGGATCTTTGGGAGTTCAAGATCAGCTTGGGCTACAAAGTGAGCTCAAGGCCAGCCTGAACTGCATAGCGAGACCCTGTCTCAAAAAAGACCAAAAAAAAAAAAAAAAAAAACCCTTCTGGGCCAGATTATTCTTCAACTAATGCCAATTCCATAGAATAACAAATATAACCCCAAACAGGGACAGCTCAGAGTGGTCAGGGCTGATGAGAGAAGTTCAGGCCAGAAGAAGGAGTACAGGCAGGGGATCAGAGCCAGGACAGGGAATGGCCAGGGAGCCCAGGTGGAAGGAGAGAGTGGCTCCGGAAAGGCAACTTTGAAGAAGCACATTAAGGAAAACTAGAGCAAAGAACGGAAGAGAGACAGGAGTTGAGAAGCAGATATGACTAAGAGCCTCAAATCAGATAGACTACTTGGGTTCCTCCTTTGGAAAGTGGAATTTCAGGAAAAACTGCAAGACCATGTGTGGGAAATACATACTGTAATCTTAGGCATAATGTCTCTGAACCAGGTATTAAAGAAAAGGCAGGGACGGGGATATAGCTCAATGGCCTAAGTGCCTGCCTGGCAAGTGCAAGGTCCTGAGTTTAATTCCTAGTACCAAAAAAAACCCAAACAAATAAAGAAAAGGCAGTTTGAGAAGCTGTTAGTGGGAGAAAAGTGTTTATCCATAGAGAATAGCTTCTGCTTTAAAATCCCTTTAGAAATGTCGGCAGATTGCCCGGTGTGGTGGTACACACCTGTAATCCCAGCACTTGGGAGGCTGAGGCAGGAGGATTTCCATGAGTTTAAAGCCAACCTGAGCTATACAGCAAGACCCTGTCTCAAAAAAAAAAATCAGGAAATTAAATCTGGCTGAGATGTAGGAATGGGGCATGTTGGATTTTATTTTGTTTTGCTTTTTTTTTTTTTGAGACACAGTCTTGTTATGTAGTACAGAAGTATGGCCTTGAATTCACTATGTGGGGCTTGGATTTTGAATATAACCCTGAGGGCCCTGGGGACCCATAGAAAATTTTAAGCAAGGGAGAAAATGGACCCATTTGGGGTTTTTGTCTTTTGAGACAGGGTCTCACTATGCAGTTTAGGCTGGCCTTGAGCTCACTTTGTAGCCCAGCCTGGTCTGGAACTCAGAGTAATCCGCCTGCTTCAGCCTCCCAAGTGCTGGGATTACATGCATGCCCATTTGCTTTTAGTAATCTGCCGCTCATTGTCAAAGGAAGGATGTGTAAGAACGGTTGAAACGAGGTGGGCACCCAAGAGGCAGCCAGGGAAGGGCTGTGTAGAAAAGGGAAAGGACAGATGGGACCCTGGAGGCTTCCATAGGCCTCAGGACTGATGGGCTATTTAGGGAGGAGTTTCCAGGCTGAGGCACGGGCTGTAACTGGAATGGTAGGATCTTCCTGAGAAGAGGCCCCGAGAGAAGGAGCAGTTTGGGGAAGAGTATGAGGGGGTGGGAGTGTCAGGCTAGGGACAGCGATGTGGGCACCATCGTTTCAGAGGTAGAAGTGTGAGTGATGTGTGCGGGTGTGACAGCCCTGGGAGGGCAGGACAAGTAAGACAAAGCAGAGCCTAGGAACTGCCGCAGAGGTCTTTGGTAGAGTAGGAAGTACCTAGAAGGAGTAGCCAGAGAAGTTGGGGAGAAAATCGGGATGGGTGCCGCCTGGGAGGCACTGCCAAGCCTCAGGTTAGGACAGGTAATAGTAGCTAACGTTCATCAGTTACTGCTTAAAACCGCGTGCCAGGACCCGCACCTGTATCGCATATCCCTGTTTCACTGTTCTCACCGCATGAGGCAGGGCGAGGAAGTTATTAAACTAATTTTCCAAACAAGGAAACTGAGGCTTACGAAGAGCCACATGCCCCAGGTCACCCAGCCCATGACTGGCAGGGCTAGGCTGTAACTCCCAAGACTTTGGGGGTCACCAGGCCAAGCAAGCTGCCCCAGGGTGGTCATGGGGGCGCTGTGTGCACCCGGAGTGAGGCTGATGCTGCACCCTTGCCTGTCTGTCCACAGCGCCTGGCGCACGAGTGCCTGTCACAGAGCTGTGACAGTGCCAAGCACTCTCCAACGTTAGTGCCCACAGCCACCAAGCCTGATGCCGTGCAGCCTGACAGCCTGCCATACCCACAGTACCTGGCTGTCATCAAAGCCCAGATAGCCTGTGCCAAGGACATTCACACCGCCCTGCTGGAGTGTGCCAACAAGGTCACAGGCAAGACGCCCACGCCAGCTACTGGCCCTGGGGGCACCCTGTGAGGTGGCTTGGCAATGAGGGTGGGGTTAGGGTGAATGAAGTGTGGTTTAAACTAAAGCGCTGTGATCTCATTTCTATTCTCTCATCGGAACCCTGCAGCTGCAGCCAGCAGAGGGCAGCAGAGGCCGGCAGGGAATGTGCTGGGTGGGACCTTTTGTGCCACCGCCCCTCCGCACTTCTCCCCGCCTTCCCTTCCTAGGCTAGGGTAGACTTGCGAACTTTGACCCCTGACAACCTTTGTTGTAAGAGCCCTACCCCGGCCGGGACTGGGTGTGGCACCCTGCTGGCACCCTGCCTGCCCCCACTCCTTTTGAGTCTGCCCCCCCCTGGGGGTAGTCTACTTTTTCTGTCTCTTCCTCTGTCTCTTCCCTTTCTCTCTCTTCCTCTTTTTTCTCTTTTTTTGTTGTTTGGTTTTGTTTTGGTTTTGGTACCGGGAATCGAACTCACGACCTTGCACTTGCCAGGCAGGCGCTGTGCCGCTGAGCTAAATCCCCAGCCCCTGTTGTCTTGTTTTGAACAGTGACACATTGCCAGGTGTGGACACGCACGCCTGTAACCTGAGGCAAAAGGATCGCCATGAGTTCAAGGCCAGCCTGAACTGCATAGTAAAACCCTGCCTTAAAAAAAAGACCAAAAAAAGTGACATATAACCTAGATAGCCTCAAACTTTTTTTCCTTCATGTTGAGTTACAGCCCTTTAATTAAATTTTTCTTTTTTTTTTCCTTTTTTTTTTTTTGTACCAGGAATTGAACTCAGAACCTCAAGCTTGCCAGGCAGGCACTGTGCCACTCAGCAATATGCCTGGCCCTTGCATTAAATTTTTTATTTTGAGACAGGGTCTTGCTAAACTGCTCAGACTGGTCTTGAATTTACCATCCTCCTGCCTCAGCCTCCCAAGTGCTGGGATTATAGCCGTGCACTACTGTATAAGGCTCTTGGTCCTAACTCTTTTGTCTCAGTCTCTGCTCTGGGCCTGTGGCTCCCTGTCTAGCATTTCTTTTGCTGTCTTGTGCCTTCCAACTCTGAACAGGACTCAGCCTATAGAAGGAGCCAGAACCCCTGAATTACGGGGGCTAGAGTCAGGGGCTTCGTTTTCAAGGGTCACAGCTGAACCCAGAGTCCCCCAGCTCTCCATGTCATCCCAGCCCCAAGGTCCTAGGCATGGAAAGGAGAAGTAGAGGGGTCTAGGCCCTGACCTCAGCCTCCCTGACTGGGGAGCAGCCAGCCCCCACCGTCCCCAGGCCCTGCGTCAGCGGAACTCCAGTGCAGGGCATTGTGCAATCTGCGGGCAGCCTGGCCCAGATGGACGCCTGGGTCCCTGTATTTTTAGCCCCAAAGGAGAAGTGAAAAGGCCCGGGCAGGGGTGAATCATCAGTCTTGGGGAAGAACAGAGCTCCGGGAAGCAGGCCCTGGGCAGGGGGCTTTGGGGTCGGAGTGCTCCACCAGGCTCCCCAACGCTTCCCTAAGAAGGTGGGAAGCTCAGAGTGGCCGTCAGGCCTGGGCAAGTGCTGGGCGGAACAGAGGGAGCAGCCCAGGCCCAGCTGTTGGTTAGGGTGTGAACAGCCCAAATGACTCAGCCTGGTCTGAGAACGGCCCCACCCAACACCTTCAATGCCCTGGTTCCCATGTGACCACCCAGGGGGCTTCTGTTCTCGTCCTCCTGTCTGCAGGGAAACCCCTGAACCATGGAGACCTGTGTGATTCATCCAGAGTTTGAGTCCCTACCCTGGGAAACTGGAAAGCAGCCAGCTGTGTGCATGTCTCCTGTGTGTGCGCCTTCGTCCATCCCAGGAATCCCCCGCCCTTGAGACACCACAGCATAGGGAAGAGCTGCAGATGCACTGGCCCAAGGTGGGATGTCTTCAGGGACACTGGAATCTGGTGTCACTTTCTCTGGGTGTATCAGTTCCCTACCCAGCCCCCAGATTATCTGGGACAGTCTTTCTTAACCTAAAGTCAACTAATTACGGACTTTGATCACATCTAAAAAGTGCTTTCACAGCAACACTTAGATTAGTGTTTGATTGAATTACTGGGATTGTGACCCTGCCAGGTTGACACATAAACCTGACCAGCTAGTCTTTGCCACCCAGGCTCCTGCACACGTCTTGTTATGAGGCTCATCTCCATTAACAAAGTCACATTTCTACCTAGCAAGATGGAAGACCTTGCATACAACTGAAAATGTTCCTCCCGTCTCACCAGCAAAGCCCACCAGTTTCCAGGGTGGGGACGCACCACATGTACTCACAGAGACGTGTCGTCCATGGGCACATATGCAAGAAGACAGGTACAGCTGGCCCTGCGGGGTGATGTCAGTGTGACAACGTCATACACAAGTGCAGGCAAAACATCCGAACACCCAGGGCACAAGGCCCAACCTCTTAAAACCATACCTGGGGAGACACAGTGGGCAGTAGAGTGATGAATGCGCATTCAACAGCCGCATGGTAAAAGATGGGCACCAGGAAGCTGTATTCATTCAACAAACACTGATGCCCTGCACTCCTGGAACTGTACCCAGTGACTGTGTAATAAAGGAACACGAGGTAGAAGACAGAAGTTCCCAGAAGCAGCAGAGAAGTGAAATCAGAAGTGCGAGAGATTTATAATAATACACACAATGGTCTTTGGGAATAAGTCTAATGTGAGAAATACAGGTGGCTTAATGGTAGAGCACAAGCATAGCCTGCAGAGCCCCTGTTTTCACTTCCTAGCACTACCAAAACACACCACACACACACACACACACACAGATTTGCATACTGAGAATGGTTTATTGAGCGACATTAAAAGTTTGAGAACTTTCATTGTATAGTGGTTTCATGAGCATTCCTTATGGCCTATAATGATGTTACATACCATAGATGTTACATGTGTTATTTTTTAAACTGATGATGTGATTTTAAAATGGGGGCTGGGTGTAACTCAGTGGTGAAGCATGCACTTAGCATGGGTTTGAGTCTCAGCACACAGAACAATTAAGATCTGGGTGCAGTGGCCCACCTGCAGTTCTACTGGGGCTGGTGTGGCCCCCTCCTGTGTTTGTCCGCAGGGGTGGCAACAGCTTCCCTGGAGTGTTTGTGTAACAGGGTATACAACCTCCCTTGAGATGAACAGTCTGGCAGAAGCCAAGTCCTCATCTCTCCAGGACGTGGCTGGGACACCAGCTACATGGTGTCCCCAGGGACCCCATGCCATGGACAGTTCCACAAACAATTAAGATCTGGGTGCAGTGGCCCACCTGCACTCTGGAGGCAGGATGACAGGCACAGCCCAGGAATTTGAGAACACCCTGGCCAAAAAAATGAGACCCTGTTGCAAAAAAAAAAAAAGTGGACAGGTCAGGGAAGGCCTCATTGAGGTGACTGAGCAGACCTGAGACACGGGGAGTAAGTCTATGGACATCCAGGGCAAAAGCACTCTGGGGAAAGGGAACTGCAGTGCAAAGGCCCTGCACTAACAGGAGGCTTAGGCCACACCAGGGTGCGGGATTAGGACAGGAAGCCCAGCCACGTCCTGGAGAGATGAGGACTTGGCTTCTGCCAGACTGTTCATCTCAAGGGAGGTTGTATACCCTGTTACACAAACACTCCAGGGAAGCTGTTGCCACCCCTGCGGACAAACACAGGAGGGGGCCACACCAGCCCCACCCCCAGCAGGGACTGCCTAGCTAGCTACATGGTGTCCCCAGGGACCCCATGCCATGGACAGTTCCACAAACACGACAAAGGGAGCAACCGTACCTTGCGAAGACACAAACAGCCCTCTAACCAGCACTTAACTTGCTATCTCTCACCCCATCGCACTTTGTTCATCAGGGGCTGACTCAGCCCTGCCCTCGGTGCAGAAGCATGGGCTGGGGACAGATAAGAATGGCTGGGACGCCTGGCCCCTCAGGTGCGTGTGCGTACGCTTGCTCTGTCCGCAGAGGCAGACAGTCGAGCGTGACGCTGGGCAGGGTGCGCGCCAGCCGCCCTCCCATCACAGCGCTGTCGACGTCAGGCACCAAAGTTCACCGGTTTCACTGCCTCGTAGCTGGGCCGCAGAGGAACCGCATCCAGACACCGCTGACATTTCTCATGCACATGCAGTCTCAAGAGTCACCCACGAAAAAACCCGGACAGAGATGAAGACAGCTACAGCCAATCACCGGGGTCCTGACCCTCAGCGCCAGGTCCTGTATGTACCGACCTCAGTCACGCCGGCAGTCAGTCCCTCCCCGGGGGGTGCCTGTGTGCAGTTACACTCGCTGGGTCACTCCAGATGCCACAGTGGTTCAGGACGGCACCAGGTGTGCAGCGGGTATGTCCCGGGACCCATGAATGCTCCCTCTGAGCCAGCTGCAGCAGACACGAGGCGGTTACAGCGCACGTGACAGAGCCAAACACAGGTGGCTTCACACACTTATTCACCCGGTACAGCCCTGTCCTGTGAGATGGCAGGCGCACGGCCCTCACACGGGAAACGAGGCGCAGGTACACTCGTGTCCCACACTTGCTTCCCCAGCTCCACGCCCCGACGCGGGGCGCACACTCGTCACACAAGTGGCGCACTGTGCCCGGCAGTCGCACGCCCTGGGCGCCCAGCCGGACCCTCGGCCACACCCGCGGTCGCCCTGGCGATCACGCCAGGCGCGCACACGCCGGGCACACGTGCCGCGAGCACAAGGCCCCCGCTGGCCCCGGCTCTCACACCCCCGCGTTTCCCGTCCCCGCTTGTTTTTCTGGAAACTCTGCTCTCCGTTCTCCTCCCCCCAGGCCGGAAGCGCTGGCGGTATTTTTAGCTTCTCTGGTTTCCGCCCCTTTCCCTCCCCCCACCCCCACCCGCCCTCGGGGGACCTGGCTTGTGCGCGTCGCGCCGGGGACCCCCGGCCAGACCCTCCCCACCGTCACTCCAGAGGGGATTCCCGGCTACCGCCGGAGCCCTGGATTTTCCCGCTGGCTACGTGAGGAGCGGGGAGGAGTCCCGCCAAAAACTTCCTCCCGGCCCGGGGCGGGGGAGGGGGGACCCTGATCGCCTCGAGGGAGGGGTCGAGGGGCTGGGGTCTGGACCCCAGGGTGAAGGAGACGCGGGTGTTCGAGGAGGAGGGGCCGACGCCTCCTCCTGAGCCCCTCGTCCGGCTAGGGTGGTGGCGGTCGGGGGGAGCGGTCGTTCCACACGCTGAGCACCCCCAGGCCCTTGAGGAGTGATCCCGTCCCAGGCGTCGAGCCTCACGTCCCGATGATTCAGCAGAGGGGAGGGGGCCAGGCTGACTCAGGGATGGGAAAGGCTGCGTCTCCAGGGAATCGAAACTGGAATCTCCTCCTGGATTGTACCCAGCTCCCAGCTGCCCCCCTCTCCCGTTTGGTCCCGAGAATGACACAGGGTGTCCGGCGGGAGGCGGATCCCGGGGCCCCTCCCCGCTTTCCCTGCTGTCTTCGAGGCTTTGTTTACAGCAGACAGGAGCCCTGGTTACAGGAGAGGAACCCGGGCGTCCGGGCCGAGTCTCCTCGTCACGGCTTCCAGGAAGCCCCCCCTCCCCCGCCCCTTTCGAGTGAGTCACGGGCGAGCGGGAGGCCGCAACCGTGCCAAGCCGCCGCGGCCCGCCCAGCTCACGGGACCGGCCCAGGAAGGCCCCTTGGCCCCAGAAAGCGCCACATCAGGGATTCCCCTCACTCCCCGTGCTCGGAGGAGGCAGGTCGGCCTAGAGCCAGCAGAATCTCCCCGCCACAATACAAGCCAGCGTGCAAGAATGAACTTCCCATCATTGTAATGGTGCTCTACGGCAATAATTTCTAACCCATACTTTTAGTGACGGCAGCCAGCCCACCAAGACCTTAAGAAAACAATTTTTCCTCCCTGATACTGTGTTTTTGTTTGGTGTTTGTTTGTTTGAGGCAGGGTCTTATCTTGCTATGTAGTTCAGGCTGGCCTCAAACTACAGGAGATCCTCCTGTCTCAGCCTCCAAAGCATACAGATTACAATCATGTGCCACATTTGGCTTCTGTTTTTTATTTGGTTTTTTGAGATAGGGTCCTGCTAAATATTCCAGGATGGTCTCGAACTCGCGGCGATACTTCCGCCTCACCCTCTCAATTGCTGAGATTACAGATGAGTGCTGGAATTATAAGGGTGCATCACCATGCCCCCTTTTTTCCAGGATATTAGTTTTCACTCAAAGCAACTAAAAGACTTGCCAATGTGGGAAACGATCCTCGAAAATTTAGCCTGGGCAAGGCACACTCCCACTGTAAGATGCCATGCAAAATAATTTTTGATCCAGACAGTCCCCCACAAGAAAAGACCTCTACCTTTCAAATCTTGAGGTTTTTGAGGTTAAACCTCTTAACGCAGATGCAGCCGGGTGTGGCACACATCTGTAATTCTAGCTTTCAGGAGGCTGAGGCAGGACGATCTTGAATTCCAGGCCAGCCTGGGCTACGTACAGAAACTGTCTCAATCACTCTCCTTTAAAAAAGGACTGGTAGCCGGGCATGGTGGCGCACGCCTGTAATCCCAGCACTCGGGAGGCTGAGGCAGGAGGATCGTTGCAAGTAAGAGGCCAGCCTGGGCTACAAAGTGAGCTCAAGGTCAGCCTGAACTGCATAGCGAGATCCTGTCTCAAAAAGACAAAAAAATAAAAATAAAAAAGGACTGGTAGAGGACTGCTGTCATTCACTATCTGAAACTAGGAGAGTAACACGATAACTTGATCTTAGAGGGGCTTGCAAACAATGCCCACCCCAAAGAAATCTGAAGAGCTATTACCAGCATAGGGCTATTACGGTGGCCCAGTTTGGGAAAGGAGCCCCCTTTCCAGCCTTGCTAGGTACCCAACCCCACACAACCCCTAAAAGAGGGACAGGGAGGGCCTCCTGATTGGGTCCAGCTGAGACCTCTGAAGAGCATACCCTCCCGGGCCTGGTGGTCTCCAGCCTAGCCTTCTGCCCTTGCGGATTTCCGAGTCTGCAGGTATTTCTCAGTCTTTTCCTCCTGTTCTTCAGTAACGCTCTAGCCCCGCTTCTCCCTCAGAATTCGTCTCTCGGACTGTCACCTGTCTCCGCCCCTCCTGTTCTCACGCCTCTCCCTCTCCGTGTCCGTCTCTCTCTGCGTCTCTGTAATTTTCTCTCTGCCTCTCCCCTTATCTCGGTTTCTTCCAGTTTATCTCTCACTTGCGCCCTCTCGGCCTGCGCCCTAGTCAATTGCCCCTGCAGTCCTGCCCCTACCTTTGCCCCAGTTCTCTCCGCCAATCAAAGTCTAACCTCCAAAACTGGGCAAAGGCCCCCAGCCCACTCCCTACCGGCTGCTCGCATCCCAGCCGGGGGCGGGCGGAAGGGGACTGGCTGGAGGCCGGCTGGGCCGCGCGTCCGGGAAGCGCCCGTGGCCCCGCCCCGCCGGCCCCGCCCCCTCCCGGCCCTATAAGAGGAGGATTCGGCGGGCAAGCCGCAGCCTGACTTCAGCACCCCGACTCTAGGCCCGCCGCTCCTGGCCCCCCGCGCCGCCATGGATCTCAGCGCCATCTACGAGGTAGGTCTCCGCCCGCTGTGCCTGACGCCCGCATTCTCCAGCGCCTTAGACTCCAGCCCGAGACGCTCCCCGTCCTCCCCTCGGGCCAGACTGATTCTTCTCGGGGTGAAAACGGAGCCTGCAATTCCCGCGTCTCGGCCTGAACCCGGGTGGGGCGGCCCCTGGAGCGGGGCAAGCTGGCGCACTTTTCTCAAACTTCGGTTTTCTGGAAGAGGAAGTGGCCGCACACCTGGCTCACCCGGAGTTGCTGAGGCTGCGGTTTTGCGCGGAGGCGTTCCTGGGGTTGAAGTCTCAAGAGTCCGGGGAGGCCGGGTGATGTCCCCACGCCCTAGCCCCAGTTCTGGGGCAAGTCTAAAACTCAGGAGCTCTGAGCGCTTGAGGTTGTGAAACTACAACCCGATTCCTGGTTGCCCGGTTGTATCCGGGAAGGCCCTGAGGGTCAAAATTGGGGAACAGTAGGGGCACAGTAGGGGCTCTGGCGTTAGGGTCCCCTCAGGATCCATCCGTGCAAGCTCGGATTTCTGGGTTCCTGCGGATTGGCTTCAGCTGTGGATAAACTTGAGTACTTCCAGATCTGGGTCCCTGGAGAATCCACAGGTTTCAGGGATCGGGTGGGGCCCAGGTCTGGAGCCCACAAACCGGACTGGCAGGCTCTTGAAGTGCCCTGCAGCTGGGGCAGGGCGTTTCTGGTGTCCTTACCAAACCCTTTCCCGCAGAGCCTCCTGTCGCTGAGCCCGGACTTGTCACCGGACCACGGAGGAACTGAGTCTTCGGGGGTCTGGAGCCTGAACGCAGCCAGCTCTGGCTCCTCTGGGGTCACCTCCCGCCTGACTGGCCGCTCCACCAGCCTCGTGGAGGGCCGAAGCTGTGGCTGGGTGCCCCCACCCCCTGGCTTTGCGCCCCTGGCTCCCCGCCCTGGCCCTGAGCTGTCGCCCTCACCCACCTCACCCACGACGACCTCGCCCGCCTCTTCTCGCTACAAGACTGAGCTCTGTCGGACCTTCTCCGAGAGTGGGCGCTGCCGCTACGGGGCGAAGTGCCAGTTTGCCCACGGCTTGAGTGAGCTGCGCCAGGCCAATCGCCACCCCAAGTACAAGACGGAACTCTGCCACAAGTTCTACCTCCAGGGCCGCTGCCCCTACGGCTCGCGCTGTCACTTCATCCACAATCCCAGTGAGGACCTGGCGGCCCCCGGCCACCCTCCGCACGTGCTGCGCCAGAGCGTCAGCTTCTCGGGCCTGCCCTCCGGCCGCCGCACCTCGCCGCCGCCACCGGGTCTGAGTCTCACGGGCCCTTCCCTGTCCTCCTGTTCCTTTTCGCCCTCCAGCTCCCCACCCCCACCTGACTTTCTGCTTTCACCCTCGGCCTTCTCCGCGGCGCCGGGGGCCCCCGTGACCCGGAAGGAACCCACCCCAAACTGCTGCCCCTCTTGCCGAAGAGCCACTCCTGCCAGCGTCTGGGGTCTGGCTCGCAGCCCCTCCGCACACTCCCTGGGATCCGACCCCGATGAATACGCCAGCAGCGGCAGCAGCCTGGGGGGATCCGACTCACCTGTCTTCGAGGCCGGGGTCTTCACAGCCCAGCCCCCTTCAGCCCCACGGCGGCTCCCCATCTTCAATCGCATCTCTGTTTCTGAGTGACAAGTGTCCCCCTAGTACAGATCAGCTGGGTCTGCAGGGGGAGACACTTGTGGGGACCTGGAGGACGCCTGATGTACTCGCGTGGCCCTCCCCCCACATTCCAAAACGCATTAACCCACTCGCCCGATGCCGCGCCGGGGCAGGCCCCCAGTGTGCAAGTCCAGTCAGTGTTCCTGGTGTCGGGGTGGAGTCCTTTCTGAGATGTTAAGATGTAGCATGTTTGAGGGGCCAGTGAGCTCTCCCCCCATGTCCAATTCTGTCTCCTGGAATCTTACGTGCTGTGAATAATAGGCCCCCTCCCAGTGTTCCCTGGACCTGCATTTGCAGTGTCTGGCGATTGGAGCCTCCCCCGAGGGAGAATCCTGGTGCTCAAATTTCCCTCCACAAGCAAGTAGCCAAAGCCATTGCCAAGTCCCAACCCCGAACAGTGGGCCCTTTATTTATGACGACTTTATTTATTCTAATAAGATTTTATAGTATTTATATATATTAGGTCGTCTGCTTCCCTTGTAATTTTTCTTCTTTTTGTAATATTAGAAACAATGGTATAATTATTGTAAGTTACTATAATATTAATATATATTGTTACCTCGAAAATTATTTTTGTTTTTAAAATTGTTAAATAAAGAATAGGCGTGTAAAAGTGGCATTCCGAGTTTTTCGAGGCCTAGGGGCAGGGAGAAAACTGGGAGGACTGCGACATTTTTAGAAACTGGGAAGAGGACTGACCTCCAAACCCTGGCAGGACTGGCCCCACTGCGGAGCTTACCTGGCAGGAAGTGACGTCACCGGCCCGGCCGTTCACCTGAGAGGGAGGGGCCAGGTGAGGCCAGCCGGTAGGAACCGGGAGAGCCAGTTCGTGGTCGCGAGGGGCGGCGCTTTGCCGCCGGCGGGCTCCTTGACCCGGCTTCGCGGGCGGGCGGGGACGGGATGTTTCCGTCCCCACGAGACCAAGGCGGGCGGGCGGCGTGGGGAGGACGGAATGTGCCGGAGCACGAGCCCAGCGCGGGCGGGGGCGGCGGGGTTGCAGGGGTGAGGCGGTGGGGGAGCAGCACCCCGAGTGTCCGGACTCCCGAGTTAGGGGGCAGACTTTTGAAGGAGAAGAGCTTTTTTTTCTGGTACTGGAGGGTTGACCCCAGGGCCTTCGCACTGAGCGACAAAGTTGCATTTTCTTTTGAGACAAAGTGTCCTCAGTCACTAAATTGACAGGGTTTGAACTTGGGATCCTCCTGTTTCAGCCTCCCAGAGTTCCGGGATTATGGGATAGAGAGGTTGTTAAAATCTCAGAGTCTAGAACCTCGGTTCTCTGAACTGGGGTTGTGCCGGTGGCGACCTCGAATCTGGACGCTCGCGGAGGCCCCCGGGGCCCCGCAGCAGGTCGGGATCCGGGAGCTCGCAATTGCGGGATCCGGGTTTTCCCGGGCCCTGGGAACTCGGGGCCTCTCGCGGCCGCACTGCGTAGGTAGGACCGCGCCTCTGGGCGGGGCGGCGCCGCGTCCTCGGACCATAGAAGGCAAGAGAAGTGGGGCCGCGGGCAGGGGGGCCGCGCCCGGAAGCCGCCCCGCGTCAGCCCCGCGCCCCGCCCCTCCGCGACCCTCTCTTCCCCTCCTCCCTCCGCTTCCCCCTCGCTCCTCCCTTGTCTTCCCCTCCCCCCACTTCCTCCTTTCACCCCGTCCCTCGCTCCCTGCCTTCCCCATTACCCCTCACCCCCTTCCCGCCAGCCTCCCACCCTCCTGTCCTTATCCCTCTGCTCCTAGCTCCTCTTCTTTTCCACTGTTTTCCTTCCCTGCCAACCCATCCCCCTCCGCTCGCGCTGCAGCCTCCCCCAAGCCTCCTGCCCCTTCCCCCTTCCTCTGCCTTCCTCTCCCGCTCCCGCTCCCTGGCCGACTCTGACCTTTGGTCTCGTCTTCCGGGAAACTGCCTCCTTTTGGGAAAAGGTTCAGGCCCTAGTACATAGAAGAGTTAGGAGAAAAAGAGGGAAACAGAAGCCCAGAGACTCAAAGGCAGGGAGCAAGCAGTACCTAGACATCCACAGACGCAGACGTTTCAGGCGGTTTCTTCAGCCAGAACAGATTCTCTTGACTCTTCCAAGAATAAAGCCTCAACAAAAACACTGGGCTGGAGGTGCAGCTCAGTGGTAAAGCCCCGTTAATATGTGCGAAATGCTGAATTCCATCCCCAGCACCAAAACAAAACAAAAACCGCCTTCACCTAAGAAAATGACACCTGCCACCAGCTGCCAGGGTTTAGGGCGGACACCTGGGACTCGGGGGAGGCCTGTGTTTCCTGTCTCAAACCCACAGCCCAGGCCAAGAGCTGTCCTGTCTGATCCCCTCAAAACACATCTACACACACATATTTCTACAACCCTCTCCAACCCCGCCGTGACCCCCACGGAGGACCCCGGTACCACTTCCCGACTGATCCTTCAACGCAGCCCCTCGCTAATTTCTACAAGGGCTCCTGCCCAGTCTCTCCCCACTCCCCAAAAGGCTACCAAGGGAAGCCGGTTAGGACATACCTGAGTCAGATCACAAGTCAGAGTCCTACCGGTAAGTCCTCGGCTCACACGGCCTGGCTCCGGGCGCTGCCCTTCCCATGCCCGGTCTGCTGTAGTCACACTGGCTTCCTCGGTGCTGCACCAGTGTATCCGGCCCTTCTCGGCCACAGGGCCTTTGCCCTGGCCTCTGTCTACCTGGAGCACTCCTCTGGTGTCGCCCTGGCTCACTCCCTCCTTCAAGTCTCTGTTCAAACGAGATTGTCCCTGAGTACCACACCGAGACCCACACCACCCCTCCTCAATTCTTGCTCTGCTTTCTTCACGACGTTAACTACCACCTAACATACAAATACACTTAATCTTTTTCTTTCTTTCTTTCCTTTCTTCCTCACTTCCTTTCTCTTTCTCTCTTTTTTTGAGAGAGGGGCTTGTTAGGTAGCCTAGAGTGGCCTCGGATTCACACTGATCCTCCTGCCTTAGACTCCCCAGCGCTGGGAAACAGGTGTGTGCCACCATGCCTGGCCATATACTTGGTTCTTTTAAAATGTATTTTAATTTTTTAGTACATGTTTGCAGTACATGATTACATTCATCATGGGAAGTTGGTACACATACATAGCACATCTTAATTCTTTTTACTTCTCCCCTCCTATGCCCTCCAAGTCTTTTGGCAGAGAACCCACAGCCTGTTACATCGCTACAGAAGTCTTAAACTGAGATTTGGAAACTCAATTCGATGCTCAGAATATGTAATGAGAGGTGATACTGCCCCCTGCTGTACAGAACGGGAATGTCACCTTCCCACAACACAGAACACTCAATCTAGTGTTCACCAAACAAGTCGTTTGAGTCTGAAGATTCAGATGAAAATGTTACTTCTAAGTGATGTAGGTACTTTGATTTGCTTATAAACTATAAACTTATAAAGTTTTTATAAACTATAAGTTTATAGATTGAAAAGTAAAAATGCACCAAATTAAAAGGCAGAAAAAAAAAAGCAGTGCTCCAGGTGAGGATCGAACTCACAACCTCGGCATCGCTCCGCCCGCACTGTTATATAAGTACCGCGCGCTAACCGATTGCGCCACTGGAGCTTCAGCCGCACCCTCCCGCGGTTCAGTCCTTCAGTTACTCATACCCACGTGACCGCTGGCCAGCGCTCCCCTACATTGGATATGCAAATAGGATCTTTCGTTGACCAATAGGAGAAAGGAGATGACTAGCTCCGGATTCTCACGCCTCACAGGCTCTTGCTGTAAAAGGGAAAAGGCCTGGAACTGCTTGGAATGTGGGGCAGTGGCCTGCCAGAGGACTCTCCTCCTCATGAATATTTAGAAGCCAGGGAGGTGGGCCCTTAACCCTTTGCTGTCGGGCCGGCCGGAAGGCGGCCCCTCCCCCCTGCGGGCGGGAACAGGATATGAGCCCCGGCGGCAGGGGGGATGGGAAACCTCGGGCGACCGCCCACCGCCTCAAAGCTGCGACCCGACTGCCCCGCCCACTGCTGCCTCCAGAGCCGGGTGCCACCCACTCCGGAGACTGAAGGGTCGCTCGACCCAGACGTCCGGGATTTCTGTACCGCGTCTTGAGAGACCTCGAAGTCCAGACCCCCGCGTCCGGGCTAAAGGACCCTCAGGTGGCCAGCGCCCCCTCCTGGAGGTGGCAGGAGTCCGGCACATCAGCCCCGGTGGGACCCTGGAGGCCGAGCGTCTCGAACCCCGGTCTGAAGAACTCAGGATCTAGAACTGTAATTCGCTCAAGCGGTTCCCAGAAATCCGAGTGCAAGAGACCTTCGAGTTGGAAGAACTTAGGGTTCGGACCTCTAGCCCCCCAACAAGTCTGTTTGGGGCTGCAGCGTCCCCCATTTCAAGGGGACCCAGGAGTTTGGGACCCCGTGCGCTCCCGCTTCGAGGTGATTTGATCCCTGCGCCTAGAGTTAGGGGAACTCCGGAACCCGCCCCCCTAACGGCCCTACCTAGAGACTCAGGAATTTGAGTTCCCAGCGCCCCCATCTGAGTCTGAAGAGTCGAGGCTCCCAGCATCCCCTACTTAGAGCACCGAGAAATTCGGACTACTGGACCCCACTCCCAGGGACCCGGGATTCTGGCTCCTGAAGCCTGCGAGCCCGAAGTTCACGCCCCGGGGTCCCGGCTCCGCGCCTCCCTCCCTGGGGACCGCGATCGGGCAGAGCAGGAACCCGGCCCCGCGCCCGCCCGGCGCGGGCGGCTCCCGGGGAG